CACAGAAATCGGAAGAAAAAAAAGGGGCAGGGTTTCGTCCATCGACGACCCCCCCCCCCCTGGGCGTCGCCCTGCCGGAGGGCGGCTCCCTGCCGCCCTCGCCCCCGCCGCGCCCGCCGCCCACGGCGCTGGCGGCCCGCACGGCGCCGCCACGGCTCCCGGGGGCGCCCGCGGCGCTGCCGCCTGGGAGCGGGCCCTTGCCTCCCCTGCGTCGGGCGACGGCGGCGAGTAATTACGACGACGAGTACGACGACGACGACGAGGACGACGACGACGACGAGGACGAGGACGAGGACGAGGACGACGACAACGACGACGACGACGACGAGGACGACGACGAGGACGACAAGGACGACGACGGGGACGACGAAGGCGAACGAGCGGTGAACGGCGGGCGGAGCGAGAGGCCGGCGGCGGGCGGCGACCGGCGGTGACGCTATGGGGTCGGCTGGCAGGGGGCGGAAGGAAGGAGGGGGAGGAGGGGGAGGAGGAGGAGGAGGAGGAGGAGGAGGAGGAGGAGGAGGAGGAGGAGGAGGAAAACGAGGAGGAGGAGGAGGAGGAGGAGGAGGAAAAGGAGGAGGAGGAGGAGGAGGAGAAGGGGTTCCCTCGCCAAGACGAGGCCCCAGCGCTGCGCGACCCGAGCCAGCTGCAGAGCCTCGTGTCCCGCTCTCGCCGCGCGCGCGCCGGGGCGGGGGCGCGGCCCGGGGCGGCGCCGGCGAGGTGGCACAGCTGGGAGCTGCGCCGCAAGACCTGCTGCAGCCTGGCCTGGCCTAGTGCCACAAGCGACGCATGGGAACGAGCAAGAAGGGCATGCGAGCTGCGAAGACACAGGTCCAGATGCGCCACGACCAACCGCAGCACGCCATTCGAAAGCGGGAAGCACTGCGACCATTATCCGAATTCGGACAGCTCCAGTGGCCAGGCAGACGGATGTAGGGAGCAGCGGGGGGGAAACTCCCAACATATCAAATCCCACCAGCCCTTCGGGCGTGAGTGGTTTAGGGAGCTCTCTCTGTTCTCAACCCCCCTTCTTCCCCTTCGGGGAGGGGTTTACCCCTCCCCCATACCCCCTCCCCCTGGACCTGGAGAGGTCCTTTCGCGGGTGGTCAGAGGGGTCTTTTTCGACTCCTGGGAGGCCTAAAAAACGACACCCCTCACGAGGATTCTGGCCCCGACGGGGGGGGGGGAGAAAAAATGCTCCCCTCTTCTTTGGAGCCAAAATCATTGATTTTACTACGGTGTTGGCCCCATTTTGGCCTTCTGATGGGGGCAGCGCTAATTAAAGCTCCCCTCTTCTTTCAAGCCACAATCATTGATTTTACCAAGGTTTTGGCCCCATTTTGGCCTTCTGAGGGGGCAGCGCTAATTAAAACTCCCCTCTTCTTTGATCGATTTCCTCCCAGATGGCCCCAAGAAGCGCCCAGGAGGCACCAAGAGGCCCCAAGATGGCCCCAAGAGGCCCCCAGGAGGCCCCCAAGAGGATCCCAAACGGCCCAAAGAGGCCCCCCCGAGGCACCCAAGACGCCGAAAAGCCCATCAGGACGACCCTCAACTCGCCTGGGCGTCGTTTCTGGACGGGCAGGAGGAGGGGCCCGAACGACTCACACCAGGACGAGGGGCCCGAACAACTCACACCACGAGAAGCCCGAACGACTCACACCAGGACGAAGAGCCCGAACGACTCACACCACGAAGAGCCCGAACGACTCACACCAGGAAGAAGGGCCCGAACGACTCACACCAGGACGGAAAGCCCGAACGACTCAAACCACGAGGAGCGCTTTCTCTCCCTCCTCCTCCGCCTCGTCCTTTTCCCGCTCCCACCACAAGGAGGATGTACAAGGAGGCGGGAGGAAGGAGGAACAGGGGAGATATGCGGGGGCAGGCGGAAACACGCATGAAAAACACGACTGTCGGCATGCTTCGCTAGAGTTGCTGTTTTGAGATGGGCTGGTGGGGATACGCGAAACGTGAATAATTTAGGACTTTCGTGCACATGCTCGAGGGTATCGCCATTCGGGGGGCCACGCGCGGGGCAGCCTAAAGTGGAGCACCGAAAGCGAACCGTCGTGCACCACGCGTTGCGAACAGTTTTGAAGAGGGAACCGAGCACCGAAGGGGGAACTTCGCGGACCGAGGAAAACCGTCATGGAGGACACGTTCGGCTTGTTTTAATCTAGTCACGCAGGGATAGTTGTCAATCATGTCACGCAATATGTTGTCCTCCCACTGGCACAGCCGACGTTGCAACCGTCGTTCAATGAGAACTTTTCGGGCGCTTCCACAATCTCGAAAAACGCAGATGAGCACGAGGCCGCTCGATACATGGCAGCACGGCCGACCTTTTTCGAGGACCGGGCGCTCAAGGAGGGAACCCGAGTTCGGTGAGCCTCTGCGTCGTGGTGATAGCGATCGCAGTGTTGGGGCCGACCGTGAGCCCCTGCAGACTCTCGCGCTCGAGCTGGAAGCATCTCGCCGTCGGCGGCGGCAGCTGACGCAAAGACGTGATGACGGATAACGCAATCAGATTGCACTGGGCAGACGATCTAGCGAGGCCCAACTCGAGGCCGCGGATCACCTAAATGCGCCGAACATGCGTCCGGAGGGCCGGCCCCAAAGAGGCGCCCGCGCTATCTGGGGGCCAAGGCGCGCCCCGCGGCATCGCCCATGAAGACGCGGAAGCAGGCCGGGGGCACGGGGGCCGCGCTCCGACGCTGCAGCAAGAAAAGCGGCCGCATAAAGCCCGAGCAGAGCCGCAACGGCTTTTGGCGACGTCAATGTAAGACCCCGCGCGCGGCCCTGCAATGGCCCGCGCGCTCAGGCTCGAGACGAAAACGGATGCGATGTCCCGAGGCCCAAAGCCGACGTCGTCAGCGAACGCCCCCCAACCATAAACAGGACGAGGCATCGGGGCGCAGATCTTCCCGAGCACGGAATCCACGGCGGGCGCAGAGAGGGGCCCGCTGGCGGGGCGGCCCGGCCTTCTGCCGCGGGGGCCCCAGTGGCAGATCTCGCGACGCAGCCCGCGAGGCGAGGTCGATATTCTGACGTTCCGAATTTTGTCCTCCCCGGCGAACCCAAAATATTCTGGCGTTCCGATAAAGCAGCCAAGTGCAACGACGGAGAACGCGGCCGCCCCCCACGGGGCGCGGGGCGGCGAGCGCGCGGCGCTGCGCGGCGGGCTCGGGGGGCGGCCGCGCGGGCGCCGCGCAGAAGGATGCCGTCACATTTGAAACATTGCGCTGGACATTTCTGGGGAATCGACGATTAATTATGTCTGTGTGTTTTTTCCCCTCCTGAGTTCAGCTCGAACCCTGCCTCCGCGCGCCCACGCGCGCTCAGCGCTCACAATCGGCTCGCGCCTCGCGGGCGTCGCCCCCCTGGAGGGGGATGCGACCGGCAACTGTTGCTTAGTGTGCCGCGGCGGCTTACGATCAAAACGCGCATTGAGGACGGGCGATGAAGACGCAAGACCCTTGGAGGCCGAAGTTGTTTTTTGTAGGGCGGCGGGCGACCGGTGATAATGGCAAGGGCGGGCCTCGGAGGCAAGGACATAAAGGGTACCCTAGATGAAGGCGCGCGTCCTCACTAGGCGCGAAGACTGTAAGAGCCGGACATTCCAGTTCGAGAACGTTTCCGCTCACGCGGCGATCCGCGACGAAGCCGCGCTGTTCGCGCGCCCGCATCCGCGCGCGGGGGCGAGGGCCTTGTCGAGGGCCGTGGGGCGATATAATGAAACGCGCGCGACGTGGCGAGGGGGCGCGCGGCGTCGGGTTTGCAGACGCGCTGCTGCTGATCATTCGAGTCGTCGCCTTTCGCCGGGAAAATGTCGGCGCCGCGGTGACATGGAACTCGGGGCAGCGCGCGCCTAGGCCCAGAACGCGCTCGCACGGCGCGCGCGCAGCCGAGCGCCCCCCCCTCCCCCGCGAGCGCCCATCCGCAATGTAGAATCCCGTCGGGCCCTGGGGCGCTGTCATGAGGTTTTCCCATCGTCGCATTGAACGCCCCCACCTCATCCAGCCTCCGCGGGGCCTTGTGGGGGGCCCGGGGGGCGAGTTCAAGGAGTCCGTCGGGCGATGCCCGATCCAACTCCGCCCCCTCGCGGACCTCGCCCAAGTGGCGAGGCGAACGAGTTCCAGAGCGCCAGCTCTGGGCCCGCGATGGGGGCGCCGAGTGCGCCCGCGGTCGCTCGCGACAAATTTGCGGCCCAGGGCGCGCGGTACAATTGCAACATATTCACTGTTTGCTGTTTCTTCTGTCTGCTAATGTCGCCAGAGGCTTGGGCGCATTCAATCCGCCCATCGAGATGCCGATGATTGAGCGAGCCGCCAAACTAACGAAAGCCCATGAAGTTGGAGCACTAGCACTGCTTGGCGATGAAAAAGCTGCTGCAGAAGAGGATCGGCCTGCACCGCCCACTTGAGCATGCTCTTAAAGCCCGTTCGATCTGCGCGCGCGGCCGCTAGGGCCCGCGAGATGCACCCTGGGCGCGAGCTGGCCCCTCTGTGTTCAAATTGTGCCATGACTTGCTTGGCTGCTGCTGCGGTGGCCCTCTGAACCCCCCCCCCGCCCCCACGGGGGCCCCCCGGGGGCCTCGCCGCCGCCGAGAAGTGCATTCCGCGAGGGTCAGCTGAGGCCCAAACTGGATTTACAAGAACGCGATCAGACGACGCGCGGGCGTCGGCCGCGCAGCCGAGCGCGCCAGAGCTGGGCGCGAAGTCGAGCGGCAACCCCGATGGGCCGTCTCGCGGATGCGAACGGGACTGCTCGCCGACGAAGCCGAAGAGCTGGAAGGGTAAGGGGCTGAATTCAAGAAATGCAGCTGCCGCCCTCGAGGAAGGTCCGTCTGGGTTCTAAGTTGTGCTCGCAGGTCATCAGCACCAGGAGCACGGCATGCATCATGATCGCCATTAGCTGCCGCTACGAGGGTCTCCCCAGACGAGATCGGAGCACCCGAGCACTTGTTCGCTCCCATGCAATGGTTGCAGCATGCCACACTGCTGTGCTTAACTATTAGCATGCCCGTGCATGTCGACGCTCTGGATCGACTGACATGGCATCTGTGTTTCCTACAGAAACGCACTGGGGGCAACCTCCTGCACCTTCGCCCAGAGCGCCCAGAACACGGTTGACTTTCCGAATCTCTGGCGGAGCATCCGTGCGAACCTTCAGCGTGACGGACTGGATCTGTGAAGGGCCATCCCATGTGACGTCGAGGGTGCGGTCACGCGTCAGGAAGTCCTTGGCGTTCTCAATGCTGTCGAAAACGATGCTGTATGCCGACTGAAAGAAGATGTGGCACTTCGGGATCGCGGCGACACTATGAGGAGCATAGCGTTGAATGGCGTGTCGTGTCATCGCGCTCGCCAACACAGGACGCGGAAAACCCGCAATCCAGATATTGCAACTGTTGTTGTTGCCGCCAACATCGCCTCCAACGTCATAGCCTGCTACAGAGCTTGCTCCCGATGGTGGTGTTGAACGGGTTGCTTCAGAATTTGTTTTGAGCTGCGCCTTGACGGTCTCAATATTGGCGATCCGGGATACCTCTTCGACGCAAAGTTCTCGAGCGGCGGCAGAACTGGCAGCGGACTTGGCCTCCAAACCCGATAGCCTGGAGCTGAAACCCTCGATCTTGACTTCAGCAGCATGGATGGATGTCTTCATGTCGTCGATGTCGTTCTTGGTGGCCACGTTCGCCAACTGGCCGTTGGAGGTCAGCACTTCACGGAACCATTCTTCGTCGGCGCCTGGGCTAGGCAGAATGCCACCGAGCCATTGTTGCTTCTGTGGCGAAGCACTTTCCCGTTGCGACGGAGAGCTGAAGTCCTCCACGCGAGCCATCTGGCCATCAACTGAACCAGCAGCGCCAGCACCCGTCATGGCCTCGGTCTTTGTGGAGTGCGCAAGATGCGCCTGCTGACGCTCGGGCAGCTGACAGCAGGGGTCGTGAGTTGGTGAAACCGGGGCAGGCGGGCGCCTTGGTCCAGGCCCTCGGCTGCGGACAACTTCGAATCGCCAGGGCGCACGTTTCGAGCTTTTGCCAAAATGGGGACGGGAGGATGAGGAGGAGGAGGAGGAGGAGAAGGAGGAGGAGCAGGAGGAGGGGGGAAGGAGGGAGGGAGGGAGGGAGGGAGAGTGACAGAAAGAGAGAGCGAGAGAGAGAGAGAGAGCGAGAAACTGAGTGCGGACACGCGTGTCCGAACGCCCGGCGACAAGCGCCGCGCGCGCTCTAGTCTGCACGGGGCCGGGAACATCACCTTCCATCACGGGGACCCGAGGCGCTCTCGGCGTGCATGCGACCGACGGAGGGACGCACCACGTATGAGCCAGCCGCGGCAGGCGGCCACTGAGCAGCGCAGTTGCGCAGCGGTCTACGAATGGCGAGGAGCCGGCGCCCTCTCGATGTGCCGCTCTGGCGGCAGCGCGAGGCGTGGGGGACCTCCCTGGGCAAAATCGCCCCGCCGGGAGTGAAGCGGCACTTCCGTGACGAGCGTGCCAGGCAAGGCACGGGCCGGAGGCGCAAGCTCGGGGGCAAACGGAAGAGTTAGGTCGGGCATGTCCTCCTACAGGAAGGTTTTAGAAGACAGATAAGAAAACGCTAAAGATGTTCAAAGATAGTCAACAGTGGTCGGGCAATCGCCTCCAAATCTTTGTTTACTATCTTTGAAGATTCCTCCTGTACAGGGGCATGCCCGACTTAACCTTACGGGCGCGCCTGGTAGGCCGTGCTGGCGGCCGCCGAGCGGACGCCAGCAGCGCAGCGAAGGAGGCGGCGACCGCTCGCTGACGCTGTCGGGCGGCGTCCCCGGCGGCCTGGAGCAAGGAGAGGCGGTGCTAGGCGAAGGCCAGGGGGTCGAGCCCCGCCTGAGACGAAACCAGGACGAAGATAAATTCGGGTGGGGATGAATCGAGAATCGCTGAGATCTGGCCTCTCTGGAAGATGTCTCGGGCGCCAAGATTTTCTCAGACCGTGCTGGAAGTCTCTGAGAGCGCTCCGGAACGCTCTGGAACGGATTCGTCCTCGTCCCAACCCAGTCCGACTACGGCAGGTTCGTGTCGTGCCGACTTCGGCACGGACTTCTGACACTGCACGAACCCTTCCACCTTGAACGATCGGCCGTTTCCGAAACGTCAGATCGTTCAACAGTGAATTGATCGTTCAACATAGAACGGATTTATCCTCGTCCTACAACCCCGTGCGAAAAGCAACTGGTGTTCGGTGAGCTTCCTGGCCCCATGTTGACCGTGCGACCGGCGAAACTCGAGAAAACAAATCGGCACCGCATTGAACGTTGATTTTTTGTTTTGGGGGTGGAAAACACAAATTGTCACTTGTCACTGCACCGACCTTGCAGACGTGCTACAGCGGATTTTCGCGTAGACTTCCGTCAATGCAGTGCCCCGAACATGCAAGCGAAAAACGACAAGCATTTCATGAGGATGTTTTGCAGCCTTCATTCCTGGCCAGACAAATCCGCACGAAATCCACTTCGAATTCCAGAACGACACTCTCCCGGGCAATCCGGGCCCATCCCGGTGTTTTCCGAACGACTTCCGCTCTGCGATGTTGGCGCCACGACAGTTGGACAAGCGCTTTCCACCACTCGCAAGGTACCTGCTCGCCAATAGCCTGGATCTGCCGCGGGGGATGCACTTACGATCCACTACACAGCGGGAGGCATGCTTTTTGATTCAGGCGTTTGCGAGCAGGCTCTTTTGTCCGACGCGCGCCGACCGAGCGTGGCGCAGCCGGAAGCCGCGCCCATAGCGCAGAGGCACCGCGCCCAGGTCAGGCCACCTGCGCCGAAGCAGGGGGGAGGGGGGGAGGGGAGGGCCCCCACGACCCCGGCCAGCACAGGGGGCTGCGCGGCAGCGGGATGGCGGGGGGCGCTCGGCAAGCACTTGCCTCTCGCACGGGGCTGCAGCCCCGCCCGAAACCGCCTGGCCTGGGTGCCCGCTGGCGGCCCCGCGGCGCAGGCGGCCAGCGCACGGCCCGAGGCCCTCGCGGGCCGCGGCGGCGCGGCGGGGGCTCTCCGAGCGCTCCGCTGGCCCCGTGGGGGGGGGGCCGCGGGGGCCCGCGGGGCCTCGGCCGGGAGGGCAGGCACTCCGGCGAGGCCGCACCCGAGACCGAGGGCGAGGGGAGGAGGAGGAGGAGGAGGAGGAGGAGGAGGAGGAGGAGGAGGAGGAGG